AGAGAAGAGAGTTATCACCTTGAGTTGGTGGTTTCCAACAACGGCATGTAGCCTCGTGTGCCAACATAACCGGCCGTACCTGCCACCCACTCCCTAGGGTTATTCACTCTTGCCCCCGGGTATAGAGGGACTATTGTGTGCAAGGGTTTTTGTGTACAGTTTGTATTTCAAACAATTGCATAAAAAATAATCATACAGTCATTACCAAAGCCATACAATAAAACATGTTATAAATACAATGAAGGGTAAATGCGTAATTTCAAATCTCTATTTTGTTTGAATTTATCCATCACTAAATGGGATTAACTCTCTAGCTTCCCTAGTGGAGTCGCCATCTGTCGTCGCCGTCCGTTCTGACGCCTCGAGGCGCATGGAAGAACGTTATCCCTCCCCGCGTCTAACGGTGCGAGGAAATGGACGTTTATGCGAGTGGTTGCGATAAGATGGTTGAGACTCACGTTTTGTAAAAAATAATGATCATCACTTTCAAGATGCTTATCAACTGAACTAATCTTTAAAAAAGCGAGGTTTTCGTAAAAAAAAAGTTCTATGGAGTCCCCACCAATATTTTTACCATACACATTGGAAAAGGAAAAAAGACGTTGATTTTAAGAAAAACCAAACTTGACCATTATAACCAGAGTCGAGTAAGAAAGTTAGTTACGTGTGAGGAAGGTATTAACACCCCCACGATGCCCTTTGCGGGTTCCCTATGACGGATTAATTCATAAAATAAAGATTATAAGAGATTATGCTATTACTCTATTTTATTACCCAATAATAAAATGATTAACTACATGATCTTATTTCTATTGCACATAGGAAAGCAATAAAAGAGAAGAGTAGTGAAAAGAACCTCCGAAACAAGCTTTTATAGAAATCTTCAACTCAAAGGATGCTTTTTTACTATCCCCTCGCACTACAGGAACTCTCCTTTCCCAAATACAAGAAAAGCTTTAACCTATCAATGTCAGATATCTCAGAAAGAGATTTCCTTAATCGATTATTACCTTTAGGCAATCAAAAAGATCATTCGAGTCTAGAAGTATATAAAAGAGTCAAGAGAAGTGAATTTGAGTTTAGGTGTCTGTAAAAGCTTTAAATGAGGCTCCTATTTATAGCTGAGTGCTGTCAGGACGCCGGAACGATCGTCCCAAGCCTTGTTAGGTGGGACGGTCATCTGGACATTCGGGACGACCGTCCCAAAATGAAAAAATGGTTGGGACGGGCGTCTGGAACTTGGGATGACTGTCCCAAAGTGTAAAACTATCTGGGACGTGCGTCTCAGAGCTAAAAATTCACTTGGGATGGCCATCTAAAATGTGGGACAACCATCCCAAGTGTTTCTTCAAATTTTCACTTTTTATTTCTTTAGAAAAAACTCTCCTTTCTTTAAATAGAAGCCGGTTGATGCTGCTAGGGGCCCAATGGAGCTTTACCCATCTTCATAATGGAAGTCTTCTAATCTTTATTGTGAAGCAGGACAAGATTTGGGGTCTACACTCACAACTCGATAATGTTGATTTGATATCTAAATAAGAGCTTCCACAAGTCTTATTGTAAAACATTTTGTTATTACATAATTGTCATTCTGTTTTTAACAAGAACAAATATGAAATTTGGTATATTAAATTTATTCATACAATTTATTTTTCAAATGACTTGTTTTTATAAATTTAATATTTTTTAATAAAGTATTTCAATTATAATTAAATACAAAAATATATCATCACTACACCTATCAAGTGGGCCTAACTTTCAATATTTGACCTTCACCAACATGACCGATGCTAGGTTGAGATGAGATATGAGAGGTTGGATTGAGTCAAGTGATATTAGGAGTAACCACATTGGTAAGGTCAGGTCTAGTGGAAACTAAGTTAGAAAGGTTAGGCTAGATTAATGAGGTTGGGTTAGATTAGGTATGATCTCGTTTGGTTTGATTGGATCAGATCGACTCTAGTTGGGTCAGGTTAAGTTAAGTTGGATTGAATTGAATCAAAACTTAATAAGATAAGTTAGACAGAGAAAAGACATGTTGGATTAGGTTAAGGCAATACATGTTAGATTAAGAGGGATCATATCAAGATAAATCATATCGGGTCGGATTGCATAAGGTTGGTCAAGATAGGTATGGTGGGTTGGGCATAATTTAGCCAATTTGATTAGACTTAACTAAAAAGGGTTGAAGTAGATATGTATAGTTAGGTTATGCTAGGTTGAGACAAAATAAGTCAAACCAAGTTATATTGGGTTGGAACGGGCTAGACCTAATGAGAAAAAAACGGCTTGTGTTGGTATGAATTTGGTTAGAACAAATCGAGTTAGGTCATGTCGCATTGCACCAAATTGAGACGAGTAAACTTGGTCAAGATAAGTCATATTTTATCTGAGTTAAACAATTAGGTTGAACTAGGTTAAGACAGAGGAGACAAATCGGGTCATTCGGGATGAGTCGATCCAAGTTGAAACATGCAATACGAACTTACTTAACTAAAAAAATATAAAAAATATATATTTTTTAAATTATTGATAATTTTAAATTCTTAATTTTTAGATGAAATTTAAATATATCTAATTTTAAATATTCAAATTACTATCTTAATTTTTTTTTTCAATTTCTTTAAAATTTCTTCTTCCTTAAAACTTTTTTATTATAAAATATTTTATATAATGTAATGAATTACTCTTTACAACTTCATGAAAAAAAAGTTCAAATGAAAGCTAAAAATACGAAGCAAATTCCATTTCAAAACACCGAATTTTATTGCATTGTGTTATTTTAAATACTAACATTAGTTTTATTTTATTTTTATATTAATAATAATAAAAAAATAATTTTAATCTGTCAATCTTGTTTAACAATATTTGAAATTAATAAATAACTATCAACAAAATAAATTATAAATGACTTGTTTTCATTATTTTCCTATTTATTTTAAAATACTAGTTTTTTAAATTTATAAATAATTAATTTTTTAATCATTTTAAAACAATGATTAATAAATTTATTATTTATTTAAATAAATATAATGAATACAAATTTTAAAAAAATGATCAATTATTTAAATTAATAAAAATCGCTATTTATTTTCATAACTATTCCGGCCGTGAATAGATCCCGGTTGACACAGGAAATTCTGTTACTGGTCAAAAACAGCTACAGGAAACATGTTGATTTGGTAATTTCATCTAGGAAGATTTATCGCAGTTTTTTTCTTTTTTTCAAACAGGTTTATGCAAAAAGAAGTTCATAAATTTTTAGAAAAATTACCGTAATAAATATATTTTTTAAATTACTAAAATGTAAAAACTCTGCTTTCAAATATGATTTTTCCAGAAATAGTGTTTGTAAGTTACACATTTTAATTAAATAAAGAATAAAATGATTGAAGGGAATACGATTTCAGTTAAATATTTGTTCTTTACTGTTTCGGTGGAACCGTGTTTGGGTATACGAATATTTTTCTTTTTTTTTTTGAAAAGATGCAGCTATTTCAAGCTTTGTTAAGTATTAAATACATTCCTAATATTCCATGTTTGAATATTTGATAGATTGTTTGGTACATGTTTAACGACTGCCCCCTGCTACAATGATAGTGATTTGGGAAAATCTGGAGCCATAAAAACAGAATCCTAAGGCCAAAGCTTTGCAACAATTTCATATTGATATATTACAAAATTTTGAAATCATCAAGCACAATTTCAATTTACTTTTAAAAAATAATGCTGCTCAAATGATGTTCCCAAACACAATTTCACTGAAATTTTAAGAACGACTCCAGTTTACTTTTTGAAAAAGTAATTAAAATAAAATCCTACCTACAGCAAACTTTTATAAATTGTTTTGCAAACACGATTTGTCCACTTAATAATTTTATATAAATTATTAATATGAAAAGTTTTTTTATTTTATTTATTTTTTAATTATAGCACTTTCGTAAAATAACTTATTGGATATTTTTTTTCTTGAAAATAAAATCTTTTAAAACTAATTAATTATATTGGAAGGCAGCATAGTTTTTCTGAATCATGACCTAACCTGACACTTCCAGCGCCTTGTGCTTGGGAATCCGTTGAATATTATTTGATTTTCCATTTTCCAAAACAACTTCTCACTTTCTCACGCACAGTAAACGTGAGAACAAATTGTAACGTCTCCTTTCAACGAAAATTAACGGGTTTACAGACACATCGATTGTCGGTGCGTCTTCCTTCTTCCAAGAGTTTTTTTCTGGTGTACATGTGTTCTGTTCTATGCAATTCCCCCTGAGAATCTAGTATGTAGTTCTTTCTTTTTTCTATTTTATCGGTTGCCAGCTAGTTATTCATCAACATTGTTCGTCTACCTTCGTTATTTTGCTACATAGCGTTCACGAAGAGGTTTCTTGCAACTTCATCTTCTCTAATCACTGTTAAGGATTCCCCGTCAAAGTTAATTTCGAGGCCATTTTACAGTTTTTTCTCCCTACCCAAATCTTAAAGAATCTTGTCAACCTCATCTCCCTATCCTCGAACAGAGAAGCTTTCATGCTTTTGTTCTTAAAACTGATATGAAAGGAATTCATCTTCACATGGATGCCCATGAAATTTCAAGGTTCTAGCTCTGCTACCAGTCTACTTACTCTTCACCTCTCAGTTATTCTGTAATGATGAGGGTATTACTCCCACATTGATGGCTTATAACTTTATACGCTTTCTTCTTCTTGGTCTCGAGGGCTCTCCTTGGCCATTAGTTGATCCAACTGATGGAGGTTGATGGTGATTCTCCTAGTGAGGATATTTATATTCTTAAAATAACTTCAATAAACATACTCCCCGTTCATTTTTGTGTTTAAGAATAGCTACGCGTTAGAACTATTATACTTTAAGAAAATGAATAATTAAGGTAAGGAGCAATTATCTTAGAATTACCCTACGAGTAACTTGATCTCTCTATGTACACATTTTTAATGGTTGCAAAGTGTATAACCCTATTACCGTCTTGGGACGTGTAAAGTATGTCTACCTCTAATGTTGTTCCAAAGTAAGGAAGTCATAGCTAATCAGTTATCACCCCTGAGTTCCCTGTCAAGTTTGATTAACTGTACTTGTGAAATTTGTTTAAAGAAAATGTAAATTAGGGTAGATGTAAATAATCTTTTTTCATACCTTTCTCCGTTGGTTGATATAGTTGACAGCAGATTCTTTTGTTCTGTGAGGTTGCCATTTCTTTTAATGCTCGTCTGTCTTGATCCTTTTGTATGCTTAATCTGGGTTATGTGTTGTTGCTGTTCCAAGGTGTGAAGAGGTTGCTATTTGGGGCATTAAGGATCTTTATCCTTTGCCCAGCATCTTAACATTGTTGTGTTCTCAAAGAAAATTGTAAGCTACTTTCCTGACTGATCAGGATTTAGTTTTTGGAAAAAACTAATTTGCTTTATTTGTCGTGCATTGTTAAGGTCATTGTCTCCCACTTATATGCATAACATTCTTTTTGTCTCCTTATATACAAATATGTGTGTGTGAGATAAAATGATATTTTAACTGTAACTATATTAATTTTCACTTATAGTGTTATTATATAATTTTATTAATTTTGTTGTCCAGTACGTTTATGCACTATTTTATCAAGAGTTCAATCTACTTAGTTACTTAAGTTGAAAGGCTGAAACATGATTGGTTAACAGTTGTCTTATGTAATAATCTTTTCAGCCTCATTATATCAAGCTTTTGTTTTAATAAAGCAAAGAGTGGAAGTACCTATTAATGATGCCTGATCTTCCGTTCCAAGTTGGGGATTTGGCTGAGTCAAAATCCTTTCAAAGTGGTTTTCGTGGTGCATGGTTTCGTTGCAGGGTACCAAAGTTCTTTCTTCTCTATTTTTTTTCAGTGCTAATATGCTAAACATAGGAATGAAAATAAGAAAGAGACTTTAAGATTGGCATTGTCATCATATGGCACACTTTTATCAAAATGTGCATTTTAGTAAAAACACAAACAAGTTTCTGTGAGATTTGTGGGTCTTTGTATCATTGTTTTAGGGTTAAATAAGTTTTTGGTATCTCCAAAATTGGCCTGTTTTGAAATTGGTTATGACAGTGATACATGTATGGCTGGAAAAACAGTATCCAGGTCTCATTAGATAAGCTTCTCTATAAATGCTTTTAGAAAATGTAAGTAAGAATAAGAAGAAATGAAATAAGTTTTTCCAAAACTAAGATTATAAGTTAATTTATAGAAACTTTCTCATACTTGCTTATCCAGGTTTTTTTAACTTGTGTATAAACTAATTTTAGTTTATAAAAAAACTTTTGTTTTCATTATTATTTTCTTCGACTATAGTTGCTTATAGGGAGTAGTTTATCCTAACATATTCTCACTCTTTATTTTTTAACACATGAGACTCTGACTGTTCAGACTTGAGAGACTATTCCCTTGCATTGAATGTTTCTTTAAACTCTGTAAGCACTTATAATTCAGCAGCAGTGTCTTTCGTTTTTAACACATCTTTTGCAAACACTGTCCCCCCATGACTTGTATGAGACCTCTTTGATTGAACACTTCTACCATATTCGTGACAGATATTGTATGGTATGAACAATGGTTTTGGTTTTCTATGGTAACGTTATGTTTTCTAAGTGATTCATGTGGAAACATTTATTTAATGCTGAGTCAATTAGTCAAGTAACTGTTTATGATTGTTATTAACAAACTCTCTTATTAGAGTTTTGTTAGCTCTTGTACATAGTGTATTAAATAGCTCATTAAAGAAATTAAATTCATTAATATAAACTAATATAAATTATTGAAAGATTTAGTTTTTGTAAGCATTAAAATATTTGTATATCCTCTCCTTTAATAGGTCTAGGTTTTTCCTTAGTTGGATTTTTATTAAAATAACTACAAATTCAAGTCTGGAACTTTTTTTATCTGATTAATGCTGGATCATTTTAAGTTAGAATATGTTTTCATGATTTCACATTGAAACCCCTTCCTATTCCTTTGTGTTTTATTTTTATTATAAAAAACTTGTTTTACCTTAGAATAATTTCATGCAGGCTTCTTTGTCAATTTAGTAATTGTCTGTTTGTGTCAGTTAGCCTCATATTTGTACCGTTGGTAACTTTTAGTAAAGGACTGGGATGATCAACTAGTTTCTCATTATATTCAGCATTAGTTTTTTTTTTTTTTTTACTTGGTATTACTTTCGCCTGAAATTATTTTATATTGTTCTTTCAGATTAGAGATATCCGCACAAAAAATGGCGTCATATCCCATCTATTGGAGTATTTTGACTACACTGACCAAAGTACGTTTTTTCACTCTGATTTAAATTTCAGCTAGAATTCCATTAGCTATTTATTGAACAAAGTAACATGAATGTTCATATGCAATTTGGTTGGTATTAACACTTTATATTCTTGATTAAGTGCAATATAGGTGGGTCAAATGCAATATTTTACATTCCTTCTTTGATGTGAAAGTGCCAAGTTGAGGTGGGTATGAACTTTCATAAGTTTGACAACCAGTGAAAGGGCTAGTGTAGTCAAAGCCGCGTTGGTGAAACCCCTTTGCTACAATTCAAGCCTTTATTTGTTGATACTGCAATCTGGATTTTCATTGTTTGACATATTTGCATCCTATTGTCTATGGGCTTGAAGAGAAACTAAGGAACATTTATTGTAGCATTATTTTGTAGATTCTAGTACTCTAAGTGCTAGTCTGCTAGCCAATAAGGGTCCACAAGGGCTAGTTTCACTGTTTTGGTTTTGCATATTTAGATTTGGATCATGTATGCTTAGTGTGAATGTTTAACCCTCTAAATAGAGGGAAAGTTTTGTAGAGCTGGAATGGGTGTGCTAAGCAATTGGAGATGAGAGGCAAGAGCTAGAGTGGCTAACGAGGAGCAGGGATGTTGTTGTTGTTAAGGTGTGGATATTTGTTGGAGGATTGGTGTGTGGATTGTGTAGAATATAGAGTATTTACTGGAATCTATGATAGGGATGGGGCATATGAGTTGTAAGAAGGGGTAAAAAAGAGGTTAGGAAAGGGATATATTGACCAATGCTTATTAAAAATCTTGTTGGGCAATTTGAGGGTAGAAATATTGAGGAGATATTCACCAATAGGTCATGAGCCAACTATATATGAGATCATGAAACCACATTCAACTTAAAACTTTAAAACAATAGGTTTGTTGATTATCACTTATATGTTGTTTAACATTCGCATTTCTACATAAAATGGTACTCCAACTCACATTTGAACACCATCATTCTCTCTCTCGAGTGTTAATCTCTTCCACATTTGTATGCTTCTCCTAGACTAGAAACATTTCTTATCCACGAGTAGTGTAATGATAATCCTTAGTTGTACTATGGTTTACCACAATGGGATATATTTTCCTGAAACCCCTCTTAGGATGAATTTTGATTCAAGGTTTGGATCATCACCCACTTCATATCGTACTTGTCTAACCCGGTTACTAAGACGAATCATCAACTCTAATATCAACTTAAACTACATAGGGGAACAATAAATAATTTTATTTATAACAATCATACATTACATTTTTAGATCTTCTTATCTATAACAATCAATCTCTCTAAAATAGGGAAACAAAATATCTTGAAATAAATAAGAAGATTCTAAAGATATTTTATCGTAATTAATATGAAGATCCTAGGATATTTTTATCACAGTAAATCGTTATATAAAACACTCCTAGCTAGCTTACAAGATCTTGGAATCTACCTAGAGGAAGAAGTCCCTTAGTGAAAATGTTTGTTATTTGAAGTCTTGGAGGGCATGAGCTATAACGACAAGACCGCAAGGTATCTTATATTTGATGAAGTGTATGTCAATTTTAATATGTTTTGTACTGTCATGTTGTACTAGATTATGGTTAATGCATATGGTTGACTTGACAGAGTTCAATTGCATAAGGATGTCTACCTTGATTTTAGGGCTATCTGCAATGATGTTCATCCGGTGACCTTCACACATACCGTGAGCAAGGGATTGAACTTTAGTTTATGCACTAGACTACTCCATCCTATTTTTTTCTTCGCCAAGTTATCATACTTCTGATATTGGGTCTTTCTTGTAGGAAAATTCTTTTCACTTTCAATTCCATGATCCTGTTCAATAAGATCTCCTTAGGTTCTACGTCCTAGCTTTCCTATTTCTTTTAGGAGATCAAATATATATATTTTTTTGAAGATGAAAATTCCTTTTTTGTAATATGTAAACCTCTATTTCAAGAAAGTATTTGAGTTTTTCTAGGTCATTCTTTTCAAATTGGCCTATAAATTTTTCCATTAAAATTAATTTCTTAGTTTCATCATCTCCTACAATAATCATATTATCCACATAAACAAATAATATAGTGAGTTTACTTGTTGGGGATTGTTTTATGAATATAGTATGATATCCATAGTTTTACCTTTATCCTAAAGAAGCCATTGCATTCACAAATTTTCTACACCTTCCTTTTGGATAAGGGTGTCAATATGAATCACAACTTGTGAGCCAACTCAGCTCATCCCAGGTTCTAGCCGGGTTTGTCGTGGGTTGACCAATTTTTCCTAATCGTTAATATTCTAATTTTTCCTATCCATGTGTTAGTGTAAATCCATGAAGAAAAAATATTTTAGTGAGTCAATCCATTTAACTCACTTATATTAGTAAGTCAACCCACCTAATCCACCTATTTTAGTCATTTAAAAAGATAAAAAATAATTAAAAAAAGACATATTTAAGCGGGTCAACCCACTCGTGGTGCGTCGAGTGGGGTTGTAAAATTTTTTCTAACCAAAAAATGAGTCAAGTTGAGTTGACCCATTTTTAACTTAAACCATGGTGAGTCAATTTGTGTGAGCTGAGTTGACTCACTTTGACACCTCTACATTTGGAGATTGCTTAAGACCATATACAACCTTCTTTAGGTTGTAAAACTTGTTCCTTCCATTATGGGCTTTAAATCCTTGAGGAATCTCCATATACTCTTCCTTTTCTAAAGCTTCATGAAGAAAGGAATGTTTCACATCCAATTAATGTAAGTCCTAACTAAAATGAGCTATCAAAGTAAGAATATTTCAAACTGTAGTCAACTGTATCACTACAACTAATGCCGTGGCATAGTCAATTCCATAATTTTGAATGTATCCCTTTGCCACCAATTTGACTTTTATATTTTTATATTTTCTCATTTGATTTATGACTAATTATTTGCACCCTACGACCCTTTTGTCTCTTGGTTTATCAACACAATTTTTTTTTTTTGCAATATTCATCTCTCCTTTCATGGGTTGAGTCCAATCACTTTCATGACTTCTTTGAATAAGTTAGAATTTTCTCTAGCATCAGTGGTAGCAATAAAACTTAGATGTTCATTAGAGAGATTGTCAATGCAAACATCTTAAGCAATAGGATATCTAACACACGACCTTTTTCCTTTTCTCAATGCGATGGGTTAATTCTTAATAGCCCTTACTTCCTCATTTTTATCTTCAAGATCCTCACATTTGAGGCGAATTCTAGTTGCATCTGTTGGCATTGTGCTCACTTATGTGGGGTGCACCTCTCTGGCATATCATCAGGCTCAATGGCGACAATTAGGTGAACAATGACAATGGGTTCTTGTTTCATTATTTGCACAGAAGTAGAACTAGAGCTTATATGAATACTAACTTAGAAAGAGCTTATATGATCGAGAGAGCTCTAATACCAACTTAGAAAGTTGACTTTAAGCTTAATTCAATCTCAAAATTTGTTGGTAAAGTAAGTTTTGCACTCACATATGTACTATAATTTGGTCATTTCTTAAGTCAATGTAGGATCTCAAACAAAAAACAACATTGTGGGCATACCTAAATCTCTCCAAGAACCTTTGAGAAAAGTGAATTTTTAGTCATAGTTTGTTTGGAAATGCAATATTGGGAAACAAGATGGGTTGACAACTTATTCTAAGAATATTTAAATGAGTACATGTAGCATATTTGGTTATCACTCTAATGACTCATTTTAGAGTGCAATTAAGCTATAAATATGCCATTTTTTGTAATTTGTTGGAAAATAAAGTCCCTTGTTTGCAATTGCAGGGCAACATCCATGTAAATTTTGAATAAGCATCAACAAAGGTTAAAAAGTAAAGATAGGCATTGAAAGATTCTATAAGTTTATGCCCCCATAAGTGTATTACACCCAAGATAGAATCATTAAAGGAAAATAACCACCGTCAGAGGTGCCAAAATTCTTGCAAATCCCATCTTGAAAATGGTGGATTGACATTATCTTTAGCTTGACCATCTATAATGCGAGCCCTAGGAGGGATTTGAGGATTCAAAGTAAAAATTCTATTGTTGGTCACTTCAAATTGCTCAAGTCCTTCCTATTGCAAAATTTACTTCTCATGCAATATGATGGAATATGGCTGAGTAAATGTGGTTGGTGTAAAAGAAAGTAATTAATACTAGAATGGATTTCTTTTAGAAGAAACTAACAAGAGTATGGATCTTTATAAACCATGTTAAAATTTATATGTAATAGAGATTGAAGGAAAGTCAGATAAGAAGGAAAATTGTGATTTGAAGAAACTAATATGATAAATTCCTTATATGTTGTTGTGTTTATAGAGCATAATAAGTTCATGTTAATTGTGGATGGATGATAAATGTATTAGGGAAATTGTCAACTAAATAAATTTTATTGTAACACAAGAATTAGTTTAGGAACTAATTGAATAGGTAACTATATGTTATTATCTATTATTAACATTACCCTGCTATAATTTTTTCATTGTTAGTATCCATGTGCTTAATCCAAATTGATAAATATGTTAATTACATAGATGTTTCTAGCAAATTCAAGAGAACTCTAATCCTTGGAGTTTAACTAACTTATTTGATGTTATAATTATTGCACTACTTGTTTGCAGAGCCAAGTTGGATCAAGTTGTATCAAAAGTCTCTAACTAATATAGGCAAGTCAAAGGGCATCAACAAGGAATTGATGTTGCGACCTTCATTTCCTACATCCTCTCACGAAAGTGATAAGCTTGATGCAAATACCATATCAAAAGTGACTGTTATTGTTAATAACAATTGGAAGGTTGGGGATTTGGTAGATTGGTATACAGATGGTTGCTATTGGTCGGGAAGTGTGGCTAAAGTATTGGGGAATCATAAAGTTCAGGTAATACTTATTTTTGCCTTCAAGTTGTTCTCTATTTATTGAATATCTTATCTATATTTTTAACGAGCTATAACTACTTGAATAGGCATTACTTGATTATTTGATATTGTTATATTTGTGAGTTTTATCTTATTCAGGCTATTTATTTTACATGTTTTAGGTTTTCTCTTCAATTCTTGTCTCTTTTTATTCGAGTTAGTCTAGGCCTAACCTAACTCCTAAAGCTATCCCATAAAGAAAGGGTTGTCCCCTTCTTATATACATTATTTTAGTAAAATCATTAGTTGCCATTAGATCTCTCAACATATCCTTTTATGTTGAGAAGTGGACATCTCAAGCATGAAGTTTGCATGAATGGACATTATGGGGGTTCATTGGAGTCAGGTTTGCTTTCATTCGAGTCCAAGAGAACTAGATTACCATGTTTGAAGATTTTGTTAGTGGTAATGTGTTGATGGGCAATAAAGTTTCATGTATGTAAGTTGGTATTGGCTCTATTAGAATTAGAATATAGGATGGGATTGTTCGAACTATAATTATTAGAAATGGAAATGTGCCTAAATCAACCTACAAAACCAACTTGTAAGGTGATGTTTGCACTTCAATTATATATTGTAAGTTTGTGATAACTCTAGTGGATGTGGGATCTCAACCAGTAACCAATGTTTGATATGTTTAAGGATGACAATTAAACTCATACTCGCAGGGACCAATTCGTCCCCGTTCTAAGTTTGATGGGGAGAAACTGAGTTGACCGGGGTCGGGGACGGGTTCGAGTTTTCATCGCTTTAAAAGGTCGGGGTAGGAACATGGACAGGGATGGGTAATGCAATCCCCGACATTGTCCTTGTTCCCGTCCCGACTTTATATTTAAATTTAAATCCTAAATATTAATATTCCTAAAGTATTTTCTTTTCTTTTTTACATTATATATAAGGTCTTTTTTTTTTATGTTTCACCCATTTTACTTTTCTTCTACTCACTTTTCACTTTTTCGTCTTTTTCAATCTCATATCAATCAGATCATTATGTTATTGTTTTTCAATTTCTTCAACCAATATGACAAACACTAAGTTAAATTTTCTTCTTCTTTATCTTTTCTAAATATTCTCCATCAATTTTAATAGTAACTAATATTATTTTATTTATTATTTATCTTTATTAAATTTTATTATGTCATATTTTTTTTGATTTTATATATCAAATTTTATTTTAATAAAATAATTGTATTTTGAATGATTAAATAGATTTGATATCTAAAACTTTTTTATTTTGAATTAATTAAATAAGAATTAATTTATTAAATATTTTCTTATAAACTATATATTTCATATTTATAAATATTTTAAAATGATAACTTAAAAAATAATTAATTTATATATGTAATCAAATGTTTGAACACGAGTGTTATAATATATAATAATAATAATAATAATAATAATAATAATAATGTTATAAGTATTCTATAACTATATAAAGAAAAAAATGATTAAATATTTGTTTTTACATACATATTTTAATATAAATATAACAAATTAAAGTATATACTTAATTAATAATAATAATAATAATTAAAATTTATAAATATTTATAAATATTTATTTATGTATAAAAAGTATATAAAAAAATATTAAAATTAATTTATTAGAAGTATAATTATTTTTTAGAAATAATGTAGAATGGGGATGAGACGGGTCTGGGGTGGGGAAACTCAGTAGAAATAGGGATAAAGACTTAATTTCTAATCACGATGGGGAAAGGGGCAGGGGTCAGGGAGGTAAAACCCGTCCTACCCCATTGCCATGCCTATATATGTTCCAGAGCTAAAGAAGAACCTTATTTCCATTGGAGCCATCAATGAGAAAGGTGTGTTGTATTGAAAGTGGAGTGATGTAGATGAAGGTAAAGAGTAGTTTTGTGATGATTCAAGGAATGTATGAAGGAAATTTTTTATCCTTTAAAGATCTTTTATAGGAAGTTCTACAACAACCGTCAGGTCTAAGACTTCTTATAATTCTTTGTGGCATATGCACCTAGACACATGAGTGAGTTTGCTTTAGTTATTCTATCTAAATTAGGGTTACTATAAGTAGTAAAAGGTGAAACCTTTTCTATTTAATGAGAATTGTGTGTTTGGGAACACAATCAAAGTTTTTTGAAGGTAATGCACACGTCCAAGGCCACTTTGGACTATGTCCGTGTTGTTTGTTAGGGACATCAAGAGTTCTATCTTTGAAAGGTGATTCTATTGAATAGTATGTGAGCCAAGCTTGTTGCAAATGTAATCTATTCGAGAATTGTGAGATATTTGTAAAATGTTTGCTAGCTGATTAGTAGAACAAACAAAGTTAATGATGATATATGCTTAAAGCATATTTCTCTAACAAAATGACAATCTATCGTTGTGTTTGGTTCACTCATGGAAGACTAGATTATATGTCATGCTTAGAGTTTCTTGATTGTCATAATTCAATTTAGCCTTTTGAGCATCTCCAAATTGTAATTGCAGAAGTTGTCTATGCCATGTCATCTCAAATGCATTTGCTACCAGACATCAATATTCGAGTTCAGCAATAGATCTAGCAATTGTGTTTTGTTTCTTCCCCATAAGATCAAATTCCCTCCAATGAGAACAAGATAACCCAAAGTTAACCTCCTATATATCTTATAGAGTAACAAATAATCTTAGTATCGACTTTGTATTCATATCTTCGACCTTGTGCATTCTTGATGTATTGAAGAATGTGCATAACAATGTCCTAATGACTCACAGAGAGCATTTAGGATTTAATATACCACCATTAACTGTATATGTAATGTCTATCCTAGTATCTAATATATAATTCGAACTTTCCCCAAGTCTTTGACTTCTTCCTAGGTCTTCCAATGCCTTTTACAACATTGAAGGTAGTGGCAGCCGCTATTGCGACACTATAGTGTGACAACCACTTCATCACTTCGCATCAAGTTTTGAAGTCTGGGTCATTGCATCTATTATAGTGTCGGAATAGATGGATGCAATATCACTCCCTAGAGTGATTTAGGGTTTGATATTTGATAGTTAGACAAAAACCTAGAAGTGCCAACACTATTTAATTACTAGAAAGGTAGTTGTAGCGACCACTAATGTGACACTGTAGGCCAACTATAAGTTGTTTCCTACTCCTTTTTCTTCTTTAATGAATTTTTTTCTTTTATATCTTGCTTATTGAACTATTCTTGTCTAGATGTACTATAGTATTATTTGAGCATCTTAAATTCATACATAGTATGCGTCTTTCTAGATTAGTTTGCTACCTCCTCCACTGGGTGAAGGGTTATCTTATGAAGCATTAAGCAAGGATTTGCGCCCATCTTTAGACTGGTGTCCAGAAAAAGGTTGGACTGTTCCTATGCCTATGGTGTGTACTCTTAATCCTATAATTTGACTTATCTTTGTATTTATAAATTAATAACTTAATTTCCCACATGGATATTTTTCTCTGGTTAGATTTTGTTTCTGCCTCTTCTACTTATAATCCCACAGTTTGACTTGTCTTTGTACATAATAAATTTTGTGCAAACATTAAATACATCTGAAAATTAAATATGATATTTTTAGCGTACAGTTGTAAATCTGATTGTTAAATTTTTGTATTGAATAGAAATATAACGGATCTCTCATTATACATTCTATTATTTATTTATATTGATGTAAATTTAATCCATTGTGGTTGCTGATTTCATCTTTGTATTATAAATTCAAACATATCCACTGAAAAAAGAATATAAAATCTGGCTTGCATTTTTCCCTTGCTTATTTTGCCTGTTTTTGTTAAAAATAAAATTAGTGTTATAACGATTTTTTGGTTGGGCTTCGCCCTCTGCCATGAACACCTGGAAAATAGTTCATTATTAAGGATTAATCTGCCATGACATCAATGGTACATTAAAGTGTCCAAGTACTCATTGAAATTGCTCGTATTGAAAGGATATAGAATTGTGTGCTATAGTCCTGCTTTAGTGTTATGGCGGGTTGCACCAGCCCCTGGCTGTGACAGTGCTATTGTAGTGGCATAGGCTTTAGTTGCCAGGATAGCGTTGCTATTTCTTTTTTTCTGTATGTGTTGCCGTCCCCCTTTTTTTACACTTCTCTCACACACATCTGCAGCCGTTCTACAGTTGCTCAGCCCTGTCTTGGGTTGCATAAGGATTTTAGAGGAGAGAAGATGGTTGGAATTCTGAGGAGGTGGCTGCTGGATGGCTGATGCAAGAAATTGACCAGGGTTTTTTCATTTCTGAAGTCATAGGATGTTGGGGTGTTATAAGAAAAATACAGTAGTTAGTAATTGTGTAATTAGAATTAATAAGTGCTGAGCTGACAGCCTTAACAAATTGTTAGTTGAGCTGGGACATTAAAAAGTTGGTAGTTACGCTTTAAAGGGAAATGTAAACATGAAATGGGTTGTTGATTCTTGTGATCAATTCTTCACATGTTCTTCTTTATTCATTCAAGATTGAATAAAACTCATTCGGGTTTCCTTTATTACTGGGACCCCTGTTCTTCCTATTCTTCGAAGTACGTTTCCAGCTTCTTAGAATTAGTTTTGTTCCTAACAAGTGGTATCAGCTAGGTGATTTGAGTGGGTAGTCGATCATGGCAGAGGTGACGCGCAGTGCAGTGGCAGTACCAGATATTGAAGTTCGGTTGGTCGCAAGAATGGAAGTGTGGTTGACTGAGGTTGCGGGTTCTATGCAATGCACATTAAGTAAGTTGTTGATGGAGACAATACAGAGTTTGTTGGCTCAAAATGTTCAACGTGATCAACAAGGTGAAAGGTGCAATACCTCTTATCCTTGGGGGACACACTTAGCTAGAATCTATTTTCCTAAATTCAATGGTGATAATGTTAATCAATGGGCATATTAATGTGATAATTTCTTTCTCATTGTTAGTACTCCAGAGGATATGCGGGTAAAATTGGCTGTGACTCATGGAAGGACATGCATTACAATCACACTACTATGGATAGATTTGCTAACTGTTTTGCTTTAGCGTGGCAATTATAAGAAGTTAGTATTGGAGCGTTTTGGGGAGGTGGGTGAGGATCCATGGTTGCACTAATGAGATTGTGACAAGAATGAATAATTACTGAATGTTTTGAGGAGTTTGATGCTTTGATTATCAAATTAAAATTGACCGAAGATTACATGCTGACTTGTTTTATGGCGGGTTTTCGCAAAGATATATAGATGTTAGTTAGAATGTTTCAACCTACCACTGTGCATAAAGCTTTTTCTCTGGCTCGTCTATATGAGTCTGCTAACACTACTTCAATCATGCCTTCAGTAGTCAACGACAAAGGAAGGGTCTATTGGGCATGAAACCAGTAGCATCTAACAAAATTATTCCAGCGGAGGTCCCTTTTACTGTAGCTGATTCTCGTTTTCAAATAGGTAGGAATCTAACACCTGCATTCATGAATGAGAGGAGGGCTAAGGGCCTTTGTTATTTTCTGATGAACCTTATTCTCCCGAGCATAGTTTAACCCCAAAAAGTTGCAAATTCATGTTCTGGAAGTTCTAGAAGATAAGGAGGAGATTGCAGTTTCGGATGAGGACTCCTCTTTCAATAACCAACCTCAAATTTCGGTTAATGCATTGACGGGTGTGGCTAATTTCTTAACTATGCAGATCACGGGGTATCACAATAAGCAAGTTATTCATGTATTAATTGATAGTGAGAGTACTCATAACTTCCTGGATGAGAAAATAGCTCAGAAGTTTGGGTGCAACATTGAACCGTTGGACCCAGTGACAGATGGGAATCAAGTGAATATTTCGGCCATGGTGAGGAACCTTTCGTGGACAATTGAAAGGACAACCTTTACTTCATATGTGTTATTAATTCCTTTGAATTGTTGTGATTTGGTGCTTGGGATTGAATGGTTGGTTACGTTTGACATTGTATGAAATTTTGATAAGCTTCATATGGAGTTTTGGGTGCAACGGAAGAAACATGTATTGAGACCAGGGCATGATCATAAAATACCCCTAGTTCAAGGTGCAAATCCAGTAAACAAGAGGCCTTATAGATATGATAAAAAATAGAAAGATGTAATTGATAAACTAGTGCAAGAATATTTGAAGTTAGGAATATTACAAAATAGTTGCAGTCCTTATGTAAGCCCTGTGGTGTTAGTAGGAAAGAAGGATGGATCCTGGAGGTTGTGTATAGACTATAGACAGCTAAACCGAGACACAGTAAAAAATAAATTTCCTATTCCATTAGTAGAAGATTTAATGGATGAATTACATGGATTTCTCTATTTTTTAAAATAGATTTGAGAGTTGGTTATAATCAAGTGCGAATAAGCTCAGAAGATGTGCATAAGATATCTTTTAGGACACATGGAGGACTAATGCTCCAACAACCTTTCAAGGCCTTATGAATACATTTTCCAGCCATTTCTAAGGAAATTTCTTCTATTTTTTTTACGATATACTGGTTTGTATTGGCAGTTTACAGGTGCATGTTAGTCACCTCAAACAAGTGTTGATGACCTTGAGGAACAATTTCCTTTTTGCAAAAAAATCTAAATGTTTCTTTGTTGTCCCTAGAGTGGAATATTTGGATAGTTTTATTTCCCAAGAAGGGGTGTCCACTAACCCTAGCGAAATTAAGGTAAAGAGAGATTGGCCTTTGCCACAGACTATAAAACAGTTGAGAGGGTTTATGGGGTTGTCCGGTTATTACAGAAGATTTGTTAAAGGGTTTTGGTACAGTGACAAAACCTCTACTGGATATGCCCAAGAAGGACAATTTTGTGTGGAAGCCGGAAGCTGAGTTAGCTTTTCAAAAGTTAAGAGTTGTTGAGCAAGATCCCTGTACTGACTTTACGAGATTTTTCTAAGGAGTTTGTTGTAGAAAAGTGGATGTATCAGGATACGACATTGGAGAAGCCCTCATGCTGAACTATCACCCAATCGCCTATATCAGCAGAATATTAAATCAACCACAACAAGAACTTTCCACTTATGAAAAGGAGCTTTTGGCGGTGTTTGCTGTGCAAAAGTGGAGGCAGCAGAAGTGGTTAATGGAGTTTGATTTTTCAATTGAGTATAAATAAGGGCAGGATAAAGTGGTAGCAGATGCACTTTCTAGGGTGGGACAAGTTGAATGTCACACGTAACTTACTCATCGATTGCAATCTGATATAAGGGGCAGAATTATAGCTTCTTGGACTGGTGATCATAACATCCAGAAGCTGATACAAGAGCTGCAAACGAGGCTGTTATTCATAAGCATTATAGCTGGCAGCAGGGGAATTAAGAAGGAAAGGAAGGTTGGTGGTGGGTAATGATGTTGGGCTGTGACTGGAACTTTTGCAGGTTCTTCCATAGTTCAGTGGTAGGGGGGCATTCGGGAGTTAATGCTACTATGCAAAAATTTTAAATTGTGGTGCATTAGAAGGGTGTTTCTAGAGATGTGAAGAAATTTGTAGCAGTGTGCCCTATTTGCCAAAAGTGCAAGCATGAAAATGTGGCTTCACCGAGGTTGCTTCAACCTCTTCCCATTCCAGATCAAACATGGCAACATATTAACATGGACTTTATTTATAGAAGGCCTACCAACTTCATTTGGAAAGCAGGTGATAATGGTGATGGTAGACAGGTTAAGCAAAGGTGCCCATTTTATGGCTTTGTCTCATCCCTATTCTGCAAGTGTGGTGGTGAAGGTCTTTATGGACCATGTGTTCAAATTGCATAAATTTCTTAGTTCTATAACCAGCGATAGAGATCCTGTATTCGTGAGTCATTTCTGGCAGGAGTTTATGGCCTATCACGGAATACAAGTGCAGCTGTTTTTAAATCAAGGAATAGAATAATAAGAATTATAATTATATATAAAGATAGAAAGAGAGAGGGAGATGAGAAATCAAGTTTTTATAAGAGTAATTATTAACGAGTTCGGATTTGTTTGTTTACTGTTTTTAAAAATAGTTTTTATTTTTTTATTTTTTAAAAAACCAAAAAACTTATTTAATAACCGTTTGGTTAAAACAGTTTTTTAAAATTGTTTTTGTTTTTTAGTTGCCCAACCGAAAGTTTTACCTATTTGTATGTAGGCTTAGGGTAGTCCTTGGAAACCTCTTCTTTTACTGGCATGGGAAAGACCCTAAGACTATGGATCCGACTAATGGAATGGGACTCTAATCATATTTCCATGGTCTGGTTCAAGGAGAATCCAGATATGGAGGGTTGGAGTATCTAAGGCTTCATGGATCCAATTTTTAGGGCTGTCAAGGATGAACTCATTACAATATTGATAAAAAGTGTTTTCTATAATAGTTTTCTGTTTCACTGATGAGTATCAACATTCTATCCATCAATTATATTAAATCACTTATTATTATTATTATTATAAAACTATCAAAATTATTTTTCAACTTTCATTTTTTACTTTTTTATGATCATTTATATAATTTTTTTCGTCTAAAATACTTTAAAAAAATAAAGTTATTAAACAATTTTTTTAATTTATTTTCAAAAACAGTTTTTAAAATTGATCTCTAAAAGTGTTCTTAAAGACTAAAAAACAAAACTAAATTAAACAAGACCTTACTTTTAGCTCTAACTTTTCATTTTCTTTTAATAGAATGATTAAAGTATGATAGATGTATTAATGTTAGCAAAACTTAGAATAGCGTTAATCTTAACATTGGTTTTGACTTCATACTTCTGATGGGTCTTCTCTGCAAAAAGTTTGTTTAGGTTATGAGAAAACGTTTTGATATCTCAGTTTGCATTATTATACTTAATTTCCTTGCTAAAATTGCAGGGAGATGAATGCAGGCAACCTTGTGCTCGAATAATCTATCCAGCAAATTCTGGTAACACTTTGTCAAAAACACACTCTATTGATTTCTTGCATTGGAATGAAAACTATGAGGTTTCTGAATTGAAGATTAATTTGGCTAGCATTTCCTCCCTTACATCTCTGGCTCTTTGTTAAATTGTGTAGTGTCCCCACTTATATGTGCTTCTTGAGGTAATCATTATTTGTCACTATTCAGCAATTCAAGCTGTTTCTGAATGCTTGGTTGGTTCAGGAGCTGTTTTATCCTTCGGTTGTACCTTATAATCTTCAAATTAGGAAAGGAATACATGTACACCATGCTCCTCACAAACAGAGATACCCGTATGTTAAGATACAATTTGCAGAAAATAACAAAGAGATCCTGCAGCCCTTGCCCCAAACCTTTCTAGCTCAATCTTTGCCTGCTTTTTCTTTCTATATTTTCCCTCTATATTTTATTTCCCTTCTGTCAGCATGTAACAGTTATCAGTGTTACAGCCTCCATTCTCTTCCAAAGAACTCCTACTCCTTCCTTGGCACGTTCTTTGCAGTTGTCATTTTTCCTTCTACACTTGGTCCTTCTGGTTGGATTATCATTCTTCTCTATTTTAATTTGTTCTTTAACTAAATTTGCTGTATAATCTCATACTCTTTTGTTATTTCCCTGGGTTTTGTGGACATCCCTGCTACAGATGAAACAGTAAAGGATGGTCAGCATACAGTAAGGACATATCCTTCTCCTTCGTCTTCAAATTTGGAAGACTGTCTAGGTAGATCCATGGCATGGACAAAGCAGAGCAACAGTGATATAAATGGTATGGAGATTGACGAGTTTGATAACGTTTCAAGTTTGCACATCATGGATGCATCGATTCAGAATTCGGAAATGGCTACCATCAATGGTAGATATAATGAGTATCCGACAAAGAAGAGAAGCGACAGAAGCCTTTGTCTTAATTCCGTGTCTTCCAATACTATAGAAGCTGCAGTGATGGACTTGGAGGAACTTGTGAATAGGATTAAATGGTTAAGGAGTGTGTTGAATTTGAGGGTGTCGCCTTTATCGGATACTAAGCAGCCTTCTTGGGAGTTTTCGCAACATCATGCACCATTTAAATGATTGTTCTGTATTTGTTATCTGACCTAGGCATAGATTGCTTTTCTCTCGAATACAATTTTCGTGCAGTAGATAGTGCTTTGTCTGTACATCTGATTTTGGTATATAGTTGGTTCGTATTTCCGTTTTGGTACATGGCTCATTTTTCTTCGAGATTTTCATGGTAATGCAAGGTAAAAACCATTATTCTTAAAATTAAGAATAGAGGAATGTTACTAGGAATTTGTTCAAATTCAACCCGACTTCAATGGTAACTTGTGCCGAGTATCAAAAATGATATTATGATATTAAATAGGTATGATTATATAGATTGATTTAAAAAGTTTGAAAATATATTAAATTATACCAAAACATTTATAGCTTAGCTTTTTTTTCTTGCTTCTTCGTAATTTCTTTTTGCACTCAAATGTTTTAAGAAGTATTTTAAGCTGTCTCATGAATTTGAAAATTTCTAGATTAATGAATCCGTTTTCAAGTTTTGAATTAAATAATTCAAATATAAAAAATAATTATTTCGAAATTTGAATTGATAAATTGGAAAAACTTTTGAAATAATAAATCTAAAAAGAATTTGGATTCATGAAAACTTCTCTATTAATAAATTTGAAATTTTTTCAAATAGAAATAGTGAATAGCAAATATTTCCTTTTGTATCAAACAGTCCGGTGATTATTTGAATTGCACCAAAGTAATTGCACCAATGTCATATATATTATATTCTCTTCATGATATGACAAGAGAGTCTTTGAAAATTATGTATATATCAGCTAATCCAAAATGTGCGCATGTGTTTGATTGATATAATGTGGTTTAACCCTCCCCAAAAAACCTATTTTCTTGCCATGCGCTTCGACGACAAAGATGAGGTGCAAGATGTCTTAAACTTGTTCCACACAACAAACTTTTGCACGATGTAAAACAAATCTAGGCTTGTGATGGAGTGTTTTCATGATCAAGTAATATTACACTCGAGCAATATTAGGAGATTAGGAAGCTACAAGGCACATATCCGCATTTTTCTACTAATATCACTAGATCATAATAATAAGTTGGGGTAATGTAAAATTTCATAGAACATGTGTAAAATTGTGGAAGTCAATCCATCCACGTCAATCTCTACTACAATCATCACCCACTCAAGTCATTATCAACTACAAAGAGTGAGGGTTGGGAAAATACAAGGGCATTGAAAATGTTTATGACAACGAAAGGATTCCTTAAAAAAGAAATCATGCTACTTAATTGTCATGTAGTTGTACATCTAAGGTTCATTTGAAGATGCATTGTGACCCATCTAGAGGGGTTAGTTTAAGACCATGTCTATAAGAGAGTGTCTCACACCTTTAAACCATACATTAATAGTTTTAAGTACTACAAGCCATTTTCAAAAAATATAAAGAGATGCTATTAGTAGTTTTTGTGTAAGAAGAATTTTTTTTTTCACTAGTCGTTATTCCAATTTTCGATAGCGAAAATTATGACTTATGAGATGCAGGAATGTAATCTATCTTGATGGAGGATGTATGGGAAGCTATGGGAGAGGATTACGTCATTGATCCTCTATTTGAAAATGTAACACCCTACCTTATAAACCCTTAATCAGAAGAATTAATAATTTTTAGCAGAATTTTTTTTTTAAACCAATAATAATCTTTCCCTCGTACATAATATTAATATACATAAATTTTCAATAACTCATTCCTGCATTTCATCATTTTAAAAAGTACTAAAAGTAAACATTCATAATTACATATAGATAAAATACTAGTACAGTCCTTCAAAATATTAAGGGCAACATTGGGGATACTTCCTACAGAGCAGCTAACTACACAAAAGAGTGATTACTACCAAGTACCATGTAGGTCTATATACTACAAAAGACTGTCTATAAAAGTTTGGATATGTTTATCCTAATACATGTTGTCATCATTGTGGCTCCCAGCTAATGAGTATGAGTGTCATAATCATCGGGTGTGGAATTTGTGTCATCTCCCCTCTCTTCAAACAATGACCGATCAGGTCCAACGAGTACCGCAAGTACAAAGGAAATAAAGAAAACAGAAAGACAAGAGGGTGAACAACAGTTCATACATCATTTTAAAATCAACATCATAAACATTCACAAGTCAATCAAATTCCAAATGATTGATGTTAATGATGCATGATCCTAATATGTTTTCTAAAATGTTTATGCATGCGGGCCCGAATCATTTCTCAAATCAGTACTGGGGTAGCAGGAGTTAACACTACTAGGCATGGAAAATCCACCCACAGGATTGTTGAGACTCATGCTCAAATATAAACCCAGTAGCTCACTGACCATTGATATACGGTAAGAGAACAGTCAGGTACAGGAGAGCTTGTACAGTGGGATCCCCGACAACAGCTAGCGAGCCTAAGTCTTTTGGGGCCTCCAACCACTACCCTTCCTATCCTCAAGGCCTCCCTCAAGGCCTCCCTATCGTATTCTCAGAGTCCATAATCTCTGATTCCCCAGATTTCACAAATCACCATGTAGACCCCAAATCTTGCCCGGCCTCATAATAAAGACCAGAAGACCTCCTATTCGAAGATGGACGAAGCCTAAGAAGCCACTAGGAGAGACTATTAGGCCCCATACTAGGATAGGAAGGATTTTCTGTATTAAAATAAGGATTTTCGCCTTCAGGGATCGAGACCGCCGTCTCGCTATTCGAGACCGCCGTCTCGCCATTCCTGCAAGTCGAGACCGCCGTCTCGTTTGGCGAGACGACCATCTCGTCACTTGCGAATGGTGAGACCCCCTTCTCGTTTGGCGAGACGGCCTTCTCGACCTTGTTAGACGAGACGACCGTCTCGACCTGACAGGCGCGAATCCCTATAAATAGCCACATTTTCGCCCTCATTTCACACAGTTCTTCCACTTTCTCTCTTGCAACCTCTTCAAATTCTCTTCCTAGAACCCCTCCGAAGCATTTTCCGGAGTTTCTGAGAGTTTTCTAGAGTTTTTATAGCATTTCCGAGAGATTTCCGGTGTTGTAAAGAGTGAAGGGCTGCCAAAAAGCACCTTAATTTTCAAGAGTATTAATATAAAGCTTGCCTCGGAGGTTTCTTCATTCTCCCTCCCTCTCTTACTCTTTTATTTCTATGATTAAATTGCATGATAGATATTAGGGCCATGTAGTCGTTATTTTAATTTCGCAAAATAAAGGGTAAAAGTGTCTTTTCATAAAGTTTATTTATTAAATAGTTGGCCTATCATAGGGAACCCGAAAGGAGCGTCGTAAGGGAACTAACACTTCCCTTACACGTAACTAACTCCCTTACCTAACTCTGGTTTTAACGACCAAAGTTGGTTTTTGAAAACCAACGCCTTTTTACTCCTTTTTCGATGTTTCCGGTAAAAACATCAGTGGCGACTCCATAAGAACCCTTCAAAAATTAGTTCTTGGGTGAGCCCGGTTATCGGACGATCCAATAACACTCTTTCAAAAACCTCGCCCCTAGGTTCAGCCCGGTTATCGGACAACCTAAAGGCGTTGTAACCACACCCATAAAAACGCGAAAATTGGAAAGTCGAAACCATTGCGTCGCTCCGACCGCCTCGTTTTGACGGCGGCGACAAATGACGACTCCACTGGGGAAGCCTAGAGAGTTGATCCTATTTAGTGATGGGCCAGCTTAAATAAATAAACCAAGAAATTACGCTTTTACCCTACCTTGTATTATAACATGTTTTAATGCTTGGCTTTAATAACTGTTGTTTGTTTATTTTATGCAATTGTTTGAAATACAAACTGTACACAAACCCTTGCACACAATAGTTCCTTCTATACCCGGGGGCAAGTGAGAAATCCATAGGGAGTGGGTGGCAGGTACGGTTCGCTGTAGTGATGGCCTTGTGCCCACCAGTGTGATCGGAAACCACCACTCAAGGTAATAACCTTCCTCTTTTGGCACAAAGACTGACTATGACCTTAGTGCTAAGCATGGTCGGAAGGCTGGAGAGTGGGGACCCTATAATGGGGGCACCTTGGGGGCCTTAGCCTTGGTGAGAACAGTTAGAACCTACCTTCGCTAATGCACTTCTCTACAGGAAAACCCTACCTCGTGATTAAAACGACTTCTCGCCTGTTCGTGGATAATCGAATTGTGTGCGCATTTGTTTGTTGCATTTGTCTGTTGCATAGCATAACCAAACAATAGAAAAATCACAAAAATTATTTTTTTGCAATAAACACCCTTATCTCGGACAGTCTGCCTTTTAGCTAGCCTGGTTTCATGTTCTTTGTAAGCTAAGTAGCCACACAGTCCGACAGAAGAGATAAGGGACGCTAAATATTATTCTTTCGCATAAAGCCATATTTTTATCTCGGACAGTCTGCCTTTTAGCTAGCCTGGTTTTAGGTTCTTTGTAAGCTAAGTAGCCACGCAGTCCGACAGAAGAGATAAAAGGCTATAAAAAAAATAATAAATACAATTTCAAAACAATAAATGGGACCTTGTTCATAAACATTATACTCATAAATCATCCATATAGGTAGTTTTTTTTACGCAAATACCATACATCATGTAGAAATAAAACATGATAAATAGGAAAACAAACACTCACATTCATACCTACAATAAGCATCATATTCATAAAGCATGCATTTTAGTTTTAGAAAATGGAGGGGACTAGTAGACAATTGAAGAAAGTGTACATTCCCCGGTACCATACTGAGAAGCTGGAACGGCTTTGCACAATAATGCCACCAGAGGTCCGCTCCGACTTCGAAAAATCCTATGGACGGATTCTCGACCTGCCGAAGATCTGTGTCGATCAAGTTTTCATCAGGGTACTAGTTCATATCTGGAACTCTAGTCTGCGTTGTTTCGAATTTTCGCAGTTCGACATGGTGCCCACCTTGGAGGAGTACGAAATTATGCTGAAATGGCCCAAATCAGCTGGGGTCCATATCTGCCACGGGGCATATACTCCTGCAGCACAAGTCGCTACCATCATCCGATTGTCGTTCCTGCAG